GCTGAACCCATATGCACATTGAGCAACACCAGTGTTCCAAAGGGAGGCATATTGGTAGTATCCACCCTGCTCATGTTCAGCGGAAGCCGAGGAAACTGGTTGCTAAGAGAGATGCAAGGCTTTGTGCTGGACTGCCTCCCAGTTAATTAAAACTGTTTTATCTATTTCATGCTTTCAATTAGAAAGCTCTGGAATGGGTCCAAGCCTCTGCATGTAGATAACCATTGCAATAAGATGTCATTAATACAGGGGGCCCATTTGTGCTATATGTGGCAGGCCTGCTGTTGGATCCGTGCCCAGTTTTGATCTCAGACACAAACCTCTGATAATCCAAGAAAAAACTGAGAACTGCCTCCGTGCAACGCCTGTCACCTCAAGCAGCAAATTATTTGGATAAGATCTGCTTGTGTAGGACATGGCAGGTGCTGGCCCCCTGTGGTCATACACATCTGAACTGATAACTGAAGCAGCAGTGTCAGCATCACAGTTCAGCTGGTGCCAAGTCCGTTTTGTTTTAAATCAAAAGAAATGTCAGCTAGCAATGTTTTGCTCAATTAACAACAGATCCATCGATGCTCATCTCTGCTTAACCCAATCAACTAACTGCAACACAAAACCCAGCTGTCCAGGCAATCAATCAAGCTCAGGTTAGCACATGATGGCTTAATGGGCATGTGGATTTGTTTATGGTTGTAGTTTGTTTTCCACCAATCAAAGGCATTATTTATTGGCACTTTGAGGCACTGACACAGTATAATAACCTTTGGTATGATAATAATCAATGACAAACACTTGGGAGTTTTGCCTTTACATATATGAATATATTAGACAAAAATTGATAGATAATTGACCCCAAAGGGAAACTGTTAACATCAATCAATTACCACTGAATCAAAACCAAATTCAAAAAGATGCACATGCAAAATGCTCATAAAATACAACACAAAGGCAACATTTGTCTAATGCAAATACATTTAGATAAACTTGCATACCATGTCCTAAAAACAAAAAAATATTTTTCAACAAGCATGAATGTATTTTCTTAAGCACCTGGTATTAAACAAACCTTAACACAGGACAAAAAATGTGCTACCATCTACTGGTCACTCTAGGAGAACAACATATCTGAAAAATTTGTAAGGCAGTCCCATCTATTCTATATAGGCTTTGTGACACTTCTTTTAATATCTGAAAGACCTGAATGACCGACTGAGTGAAGAGAACTGGATCTGGGGAGTCGGCGTAACACTTCTCTCTGGCTGGTGAAGGCCCACTTGTCCGGATGAAAGTGATTCTACAATTGCAGATGGAAAGGAGCCTTCCTGGGTCTGGGTCTGGGTCTGCTCCTCTGCTGCAGGAGAGGTCAGGGATGGAGACTGAGGGTTGAAACGAGAAAGCAGACCCTGCTCTGTGACAGGGTAGTGACCTGCAGCCAACTTCTTCCGCTCTTGATGCATTTGTTTGAGCTGCCTCAACTCTCTGGGCAACTCCAACACACTCTCCTGTGGGTGCAAGCAGGTAGAGAGGGTGCAGCTGAACTACCGTCTATTATACTATAACAAAAGGTCTAACAATAGCCTTGTGTAGCCAATCGATTATGTGCAAGTGGACATCTCTGGTAGATTACTTTGTAACATTGTCATATTTCTATTGTTGACTTTAAGATTGTCACAATGGAATATAAACTTACTGCTCTATAGCTTCTTTTAGACAGAGGCTCCACTATATTGGCATTAAGATGACCTTTACTGCTGCTATGCCTATTTACACCGAACTAAAAAAAAAGCCAAGCATAATGTTGTCCATGTTCTTTTACACACCGTGACATAATGTATAACCACACATACAACACAAGTCAGAAATACAGAGCATACAGTAGCTTTCATATCAACTGTGATTATGATCACAGATTATGGTTATGGTGAACAGTGTTTAAATGGAAATCTCCCAGTGGCGCATCACAGAAACATATTTCATCACAACTTCAAACAGCTCCACCCACAATAATCACATAAAAATACATCCTTGAATATGCATTTTAATAGGGGCTTATGATGCCTTGCTAACTGCTAGCTTTTTTTAAATTGTAAAATCCAATCTCGCAGTATTATAAACTGATAGTTTTCATATCTGACCAACCTTCAAAATACCGCATGATGTACCATGTTACTCAAACAGGACTTCTGGGTTATAATTCATCATATTATCAGTAGCTGAAATAATTTTCTCACACCAACTCAACCCTGTGCATTCTTTTTTTTTACGCACACGTTTTAGGTCCCCACTCAGCCCAATAACCCACCCAGGGAGCAGGAGGAGAAAGATATGGATGCCACTGTCTTGAATAGAGCTAGCTAACCTGCAGAAAACTTCTGCTTGTTAAACAGAGAGCTACTGTATTGCTCTGTAAGATTGTATAGTGAAGATAACTTTAGCAACAACCTACTTTTCATGGACCTTAAATATAAAATCAAGAAAGGTGTGCATATGTGACATTTTTATTAAAGCACAAATGTACAGTGCCTTGCGAAAGTATTCGGCCCCCTTGAACTTTGCAACCTTTTGCCACATTTCAGGCTTCAAACATAAAGATATAAAACTGTAATTTTTTGTGAAGAATCAACAACAAGTGGGACACAATCATGAAGTGGAACGAAATTTATTGGATATTTCAAACGTTTTTAACAAATAAAAAACTGAAAAATTGGGCATGCAAAATTATTCAGCCCCCTTAAGTTAATACTTTGTAGCGCCACCTTTTGCTGCGATTACAGCTGTAAGTCACTTGGGGTATGTCTCTATCAGTTTTGCACATCAAGAGACTGAAATTTTTGCCCATTCCGCCTTGCAAAACAGCTCGAGCTCAGTGAGGTTGGATAGAGAGCGTTTGTGAACAGCAGTTTTCAGTTCTTCCCACAGATTCTCGATTGGATTCAGGTCTGGACTTTGACTTGGCCATTCTAACACCTGGATATGTTTATTTGTGAACCATTCCATTGTAGATTTTGCTTTATGTCTTGGATCATTGTCTTGTTGGAAGACAAATCTCCGTCCCAGTCTCAGGTCTTTTGCAGACTCCATCAGGTTTCCTTCCAGAATAGTCCTGTATTTGGCTCCATCCATCTTCCCATCAATTTGAACCATCTTCCCTGTCC